GACGAACAAACGGATATTTTATTATAAAAACAGCACCGGTCAGCTTACCTCAGAAATCAACCACAACACAGTAAATATCGTTGAAATAATACATCGTTTAAAGTAATAAAACAAATCTGTCAATTTTCACAATAACACTACGAAAAATGCTTACATTAATGTTACGGCCCATTCTGAGAATTAGCCCATTCTAGGATTCCGAAATGGGCCAGCCCATTTCAAGATGGGACAATTGCAAAAAATTTTTCATCACAGTAACACATACAGATAGCTTGCGGATTTTTACATTCAGCGAAGTTCGGTTTCAGTTTGACTAAGATGCACAATAATATGCTTACTATTATCAAAGTACTTTCAATAGACATGTGCCAGTGCTTAGTGAGATACATTCTAACTCAATTGCTTCGTATACAGTTGTACTGTTTAAGTCGATCGAATGATATCTATGTCAATTGTTAAGTCGTATGATTGACCGTTGATAGCCATATTGAGTATCAAAAATTGTAAATCGTACGATTTATAGCCAGTATCGAAGAATAAATTGTTCGACAATCGTAAATACTCTATGTCCCTAACACCCGAGTCACAAAGTCATTACCTTGGATTGGCAAGAGTGTTCCGAGGGCGGCAACAATCTCCTTATCTCCTCCCTCGAAATACTCTAAGCGTTCATCCGTCGGCTTGCTCAAGAGAATGCCCTTTATTCTGCCGCGTTCCTCTTCGTCGGGGAAAAGAGTGGTTAGTTTGGCTTTGGCTTGCTCCCAGGTCATTGTTGTTAAAAGGTTGAACAAAGATCGCGCGCGAATGTGATAATATGAGGCAAAAAAAGGGTAGTCACATGACAATTATTACATTAGCGACAGCGCGTTGGCTAAAAATTTCGTGGCAAAATCAAGTCTAAATATATTGACAACGCTGTCATATGATTCAACATCCATTCTGTTGTCAAGTTCCTCGCCATTGCACGAATTGTGCTGACAATATTTCTTATCCCTCGGGAAGCGACGGAAATTAGGAAACTCTTGGATTACATTTTATATTGATTCAGTCGAAAAGAGAGTCTTGAAGGCAGATCTCCCATACTCTGAAAACATAGTCTCGTATCCGTTTCTTGCAATCAATGTACCAACATGCTAAAGGTTATTCAGGTCTTGTCCAGATTGTGAAAGGACCTGTCTTCGCCAAAGGAGTATACAAGGTTTTAATGAAAACTCGAGGCGTCTCTTGTCAACTGAAAACTGGGAACGAATTACGAGAAATGGCAAAGTGTGTGGCTCACTGGATTAGTCAGATTACATAATGGAAATTGGGATATCCGATGAGAATGCTATAATTTCTCCTAATACAATTCGACGCGCACTAAGAAGGCAAACCACCCACACCTCCCCTCCTAAAGCAACAGCATAAAATAACACTAAGTTCGCCAAGAAATATAGACATCGGTCGGTGAGGATTGGCGTAAAGTGATTTCGTGGCAACCCCGATGAGACGATATCTTACAAACAGATCATATTATACAACATACCACAGTTGTGGCGAGTATAATAGAATTAAAAATTTGGAAACACAATTACGTCTACTGGCTATTGTACGTATTCATCAGACATGTACCAACTGAGAAAGCTTATAAAAAGTTATGGTAATTTGATAACAGGTAACCGGAATGTGACAGCAATGGAGGCACTTAAACATCCATGATCGATAATACAGTACAGCATTAATATTAATATCAATGTATGAGTTTTATAACGCTTTAATAATCAACTGTATTTTCCCATTTTGTAATAAATATTTCAATAAAGTAGACCATTTGGTTGTAATAAGCACTTGACTGTCGATTAAATTTCAATCAATGCCCTTATTTAAACGCACATGTAGAATGATAAAATTTATATATAGGAATACCCGTATATGAAAAATTAATGGTTCGACTGAATATGAAAAGGCAATAAATAAGTTTCTTGGAGGTAGGTTGCAATTGTGGTTGTTCACAAAAGATTCCGAGAGAAAAAGTTTGCCGAGTTACGTGAGGCGTTTCAAGCTCCCTCCAGATCCGAGCAAGATATTTTTTTAATGGCCCAGTTGGAAGCAATGAATGGTGGAGAAATAACACGCCAATCGACGTCTTAAAAAGAAAACGCGTACTAATAAATAACTTTTACTTACTCTCCAGCTATAATTACAAAAGTGGTAAATGTAACCACCAAAGTGAATATAAACCGAAGAAACAGTAAAAGTAATTGAAATCTATTTACAACGATAACCGTGCATTATCATCGTCCAAAACGACGGGCTTGTCTATAAATGGTGCATGGTTTTTCCAGATCTCTCGATCAAGCACCACAAACGACATGACCTCCTACGGAATTGAGACGCGTCGCGCCCCGCGCCGCCCACCCAATACCAACCCATGCGCAAGTTCTCTTTCGAATTCACTCCAAGTGCATAGCGCTAACATGGTTATTCTCTCTACGCAAAACCATTTTGGTTTGTTTCGTATGCTCTCGAGCAAATGCTCGCTTGTGTGACTTTTTTTCTGCCCTACGAGCCTATATTACAAAGGAAACAACGATTTTAACAAAAAAGATTACCTAGAGAATACGATTGCAATAAATAAACCATTTGAATTCTCCGTACTCACCCGCCGTTCAGCCTTGACAGATTCTTTTCGTTTTTTCTTTTCATCTATCGCTTCCTCACGAGATCGTGCTATTCCCATATTCACTATAAATAGACGCACGAGCTAAATACGGTAGAGCATGTCACATCAAATCGACTTATGCAAAGCATCCCTTACGTACCTCGAGGTTGTGCACTTTCAACACTATCTTCGCTATCAGAAAGAGAATCTGTGTGACCATTTTTTGCTTCTTCTTTTGAAATGTTTGATACATTTTCCATTTTTTCTATAATCGGCATTCCGGTTCTCGGATGTATTTTTATTTTTTGGTGGCGGTCTTCTCTTATTAATGTGGGATGGTTCTCAAGATTAGAATACGTTGCTACAATTTGCATGTTACAATACAGTATTAATAACAAACTTATTAGTAATTTTTACCGATCCATGTTTCCCTTCCTTATACCTTCTATATCCCATAATTATTCCCTTCCCTCACTTGATACCAATAATATATACATTACAGGAAATCTACTTACACAAAATCGACTGACAATCCCAAGCCTCCCGCTTATTCTTTCCTTCAGTTGTCAGGTCTATCTCCACATATTCTTCTTTCTTCTTCCTATTGGTCCGCCTTCCGTCTATTTCATCCTCAATAACGACCTCTCCCAATTCCCGTCGAATCGTATCTAGAGCTCTTATGGCCGATGCACCCGCGAGTCTGGGAGCCATCTTATTACCGACAATTTCATATTTTTCCAGAAAGTCGTCAAATATATCGTCGAGATCCTGGCGTGGTTGATCGGCATTGGGAGAAGAAGAAGCATCATCATCCTCCTCTTCATCAACATCAGAAGCTGCTGAGGATGATGAGAGGTATTCTTCTTCGATCTAAGAAAAAACCGTATACACGGGACAAATAATGTGAAATCAAGTTTGAATATAGCAAAAGTATATATTTATTTATTTATTTATTTATTTAAATCAGTTCTTTCTAACTTACCTTCTCGAATTGCATGTCAAGCAGTGTTAATTGTTCATTACGAAACATGGCAGAACTAGACATAGAATATCCTGTCATTCGGGATTGCCTATCATCGGATCTATCTTTCACTTGTTCCTTGCGTTTTTGAAATTTTCTAAATTCGCGTTCCCATGCATCTCTTTGTCCATCATTTTCACCGTCGTCACTAATACCCGTTTCGTCGTATTCATCATTTTCGTCGTCTTCATCGTCTTCTGTCGCTCTCTTCTTTTTCTTCTTAAACGAGCCAACCTCTTCTTCCACAAAATGATTTGTCTGCTGGTCATGACTGTCCTGCTGAAGCTGAGCGAAAAAATCGTCGTCTGCATTTTCATCCACGTAAGCATCATCCTCAAGTGCCTCTAGCACTTCTCGGAGACTGGGATCCATATCCGGTTGAAGGCCTTGCAACTCTGAAACAATGTACCATTTGGGTTAAAATCAAATTCTAACTAGAGTGAAGACGATGAATCTATTTTTACCATCAGGAATGGCAGGTTGATTGATTATGTCAAGCGGGATTTCTGAAGACGAAGGAAGCACCTCGGGTGGTAGATCTATTCCCGCCGCTTTCTCCTCTATACTGGCTAATAGCGAAGTCTACACGAGAAATGCAATGTCAGAACGGAAAAAAGAAAAGCAAATGCTGTAACAAATCCATGACAAAAAAAAATTCTTTAGATAGCTCAGTAGGAACAATTGGTTTGTTGCAAGCATCATTGGATCATACATCCATATCAATTATCTCCATTTCTTCTTCCTTGCTATAAATTTTGACCAACGAGAAGTAATTCAGGATCACAAAATACCTTTGTCTTCTCTTTACGCGCGGGCGCTTCTATGAACACAGCTCCTGCCTCAGCGCCAATTGGCTTCAAATGTTGCATATAATTGTATTCGGTGTCATCAAAATATACACCATACAACGCAGCTTGACCTATACGACTGAGTTTTCGAAGGGGTTTTGAAAAGGCTACAATGAGAAAAACAAAGAGAGCAAATCTATGAAAATTACTTTTCTGCGTCGACTTCCGCATCTTTTTGGATGGGTGGAACTTTGCCCTATGAATTTTAATCAAAGGTTAGGCGACATGACATTCTTATCACCTCAACAAGATCAGTGTACATGAAATGTTACCCTCAAGTTGGTGGGAATGTGCTCTACAAGTACGTGCGAAGATGCCTCTGCATCGTTGATTAATGGATCACGCTGTGATCGGTGAACCAAATGATAATGTTTTGCTGTTTTGCGATCAATGAACGGCTTCTTCCCCATATCTTTTTACACTTGTCTATCCGAAGAAAATTTTTTCGGAATTTTGTTACGTAACAATGATGGTGATAATCAATTCATTAGATCACGGGGTAGTTTACGTACTGTAATAAAAGTCCCTCGCGATAGTAGTTTACGTACTGTAAATTCCACAAATACTAATATAAATTAAAATAAGGGTTTCCATTTGAGCAAGCCTGTGCATTTCAATGACAATGATCAACCGGCATTTACTAGTAACCGTTATTATTATATGTTTTATTGTTAAAACTTGACCATTTTTACTTTACGATATATATGCAATAACAGATTGGCTAATTCCTCCCGTAGACGCTGATGTAATTTGAGTTTGATATGTATCATACTTGAGTGTACTATTAATTTGATTGCTAGGCAAATCCTCATGCACGAATAGTGTGTGAGGTAGCTATGTCACAAAGTCTTGAGTTCTTAGAGAACAAATGTGAGCGCTGGATGAAACAACAGTATGTAAGATATGCACTGGGGATCAAGCTCTATGAACGAAGGACTACGCGTGATACCAGCGGACGGTTTAATCGATCGATGATAGTATGTATTGTTACCTGTTTAACAGTCTATGATAGCAAATTTTAATTTTTTTTTTTTGATATTTAGGCAAAGTTATGGACTCGCACGGCATTAGCAGTGAATATACCAGTACCACCCGTACCAGGAGTGTTCGTGCAAACGGTAAGTTTGATTTGTTTGCTAGTATTTTTTTGTGACCAAAGTCAGAAGCTTAGTTCTTTTTTGTAAATATAACAGTGGGATTTCGGAACTCTTTTGAATGGAACTGATACCAGTACCACTTGCACAAGTGCAGGCCTTCCCGCCTACCAAATTATTATTCCAGTGTCAGAGGTCTTCTGGGACCCTCCAATTGTGAGGGGAGTTCCAGTTATAGGGACACATTTTGCCACAAGCCCGGCTGCTGTCACTGCCACTCATTTTACGGTTGATTTATATTTGATTCAGCAGGCAGCCCTAGATGCAGAGAGGTAATTTTAATGAAGTAATACTACAATCTCTGCCATCAAACTTTTTTTTTTCCGATATGGTCTCATTTGGATCATTTTACTCCGCCTTGTTAATATAATAAACAAATTTTCCATACCACAGCGTACGGCGGAATAAATAATAATAATAATAAATGTTTGTCTTTAATTTGACGGAATTTTTTTTTTTTTGCAGTGTATTCAATTTTGACCCGATAATTATTTTCAAATTGTTTCCATAGTTATAATCTGCACAACCATCCCATAAGACAATGTCGAAAATTGCTACAAATTTCGTAAATCAATACAACCTAACCCCTCAGATGAGCGTAGCTAAGCTTAGCAGTTACGCCGAAGATTTAGTCAAAAAATCGAAAGACCCCAAAGCACGAAATCGAATCCAGAAATTAGGATTTAATAAAAAACAAACATACGCTCTTATCCCCGCGCAAGCTTCTGGGAGGCGTGTTATGTGAAGAAATCCGTTAAAAAGTTTTCTCTATTTATTAAGGAAAACTTGACCCAGAGGAAATATACAAATTGGCATATAATTTAGCAGAAAGTGGCGCCACGGAAATAGCTAAATCCTCACGTCTCAAATTACTTTGAAAAACTGCGTAAACTGGGTGTTGATTATTTGACAATAGAAGCTACATACGTACCCGATTTCACCTATGCATCGAATAAAAAATAAAAGAACTTTGTGAAGACAAAGGATTTGATATATCAAATCCCCTCTCGATGCAAAATTTAATAGATATAATGATAACGTTATGTATGCAACCAGCAGATGTGAAAGGCCTTTGTATTAACTATTACAAACAAAATAGCACAAACTAGTATAACTCTAAATATTCTTGGTACTGCACCGAATATGCTAGAAATAAAAATAATAAACCTCGACCATTTCTTTCTATGGAAAAAAAATCCGGTATGGGCTCGAGAATTACTTACCTGGATTCAAAAGGCTATACCAAAAAGGTTTCCATTCTTGTTAAAGGGAGAAGGTGATAACGTAAATGTTTATCCTATTAATAACTTCTTAGCACCCTATGGTATTAGCTCATGTCACTTACGAAAAATAGGAGCCGATCACGCTTCCAGAGTGCATGGAGGTAAGAATGATTCCCGCCGCCGACATTTGAGATAACTGGCATGTAGACAGCCAATATAATTTTAAACCTATTACTATTAGTCGTCACAATTATCATATATTGTGATCGCCGACATTTATTAGTACGAGATAAAAGAACAATTGCGCGCGTCCAGAGAAAGAATTAATTCTACCCATGCTGATTTTACTCGAATTAGTTTTTTATCGACGTAGCCCTGCACTTTGTGCATTATGAAATAGATGCTATATAACATAAACTACATGACAGTCAAATTCGAAGTTCCAACGTCTCGACTTCATCACTAATCTGAAAAATCGACAAAAATTTTACCACTTCCAGTGACAAGCATTAAACAAATCAATTTTAATTATACGATTGGGTTACAGCCGGATTACGGTTTCGCTCTGTAAAGGTGCTGGTATTTTCTTACATTTTATATACCGTGTGTAACATAAATACCACCACTTCATCGAACTGCAATAACAGAGCTGAATTTATTACTACTAAATTACAAGCCAGTTACCGAAACTAACCAAAAATTAGCAGAAAGTAAACACTCGATAAGTCTGTATCACGTGACAAGTGTAAACCATGACACAAATTCCTTCAATTTTAACTGGTGGATCGCAAGCACGATAATATGTGGTATTGAGCATTTCAGTGTAATAAAATCCTTGGCTGATAATATCACTGCGCTTATTCGTGAAATAATCGCGATGTCCTTATCTAGCGGTAGTAATAGTAACACAACTTCTTTGTCTGTCATACAGTTTAGGCTTATTACTTTGGCCAAAGCGAAGGAGTATCCAATTATTGGCTATTTGAGGATAAACTTTTTATTCTTTTAAAGAGTAAACTCGCTGGTTTATGGAGAAACACTGTTAGAATAATACAATCGATTGTGAAACAGACAATAGACAACGCTGATGAATTTGAACTTTAAACAGTTTGTATTGTACTGAACAATAAAATTTTTATATATAAAAAACTGAAGCTACATTGTTATGAATAAACTGGCTAAAAAATCTCCTATTGGTTTATAAAAACTAGTGTATTGACCGCGGGGACATGCCCCATGGTTTCTACATTGACAGTGCCTGAATTCTGTGGATATTCGATCTTGACGGACGTTAAAACCAAAACTATGATAAACACTATGGTCGAGGCTACAACCGAATAAGCGTTATCATTAAGAATTACTGGTCCTTCTAATACCAAATAGACGAATATGAACATAAGTCTAACCAGATTCAATGCAAATAATGACGCTTTTGTAGTCTCTCTGCAATTATATATCAATCGAATCGCAACAAATATAACTACTGTCGCTCTAATTACAAAAATTACAATCAAGCTCGCTGTAGAGGCAACATCTTCCTTCCACAGCAAGTTAAATCCAAATGACAAGTAACAAACCTATATATTAAATATTTTGGCGTTAGACAGTAAATGTAGATTTATGACGCAGAGTACATTAATATTGTGAACTTACCCCAGAAAACCAAAGAATAAATAACATAATTGTGCCAAAAATAGTATCGCAACCACTAAATCGTGTTCGTCTTAATGTATATAACATCAATGTCAATATCATTATTATCAGCAATTGGTAAGTTATCACTGCAACATAATTGAGAATATCGTTGTTCTTCTTATCAGTAGCAGTCAAATACTCGATAGTCGTTAAGGACCAGATTAGAGCCACTCCATTAATTAGGAGTTTATAGATGGATAGGCCAAAGTCTTGGTTCCTTATGATATAAAAGAGCGTAATAACTGCACTGATACCAGCAAACTAATAAAATCAGTATAATATGAAATTAACGAATATTCTCGTTGAAAATCGAATTGATAAACTAGCTATTAATTTACCACTGCTATCGCCTTATAACAATTGACCACTGTGACTAATTCTGGGGCGTTCATTTCGCAGTAAATAGTAAAGAAACATTCTGCACATCATCTTTATCGCTTTAAATATAGGTAAGTGCGTTACACATACCGTATGTAACAATTTAATCGATCATATTAAGTTACACAGTCGATGCAGTGATACAACTATTATGTGTACAAACGCGGAATTTGTGTCAGTCACACACGAAAGTTTTGTTAATAATGCGCAATTCAAAATATCTTGACATTCGATTAGTTCAGTGAACGATCAAAGGATATAAAGTTTCCCTCGCAAACAGCATCTTTATCTCATCTTCATTTAATTGATCTTTTATTGCGATATTTATAATTCTTGCATATAGAATAGTCTTAATTCCCTGGTAGATTTCTATCGCTGTCAAACGCTTCCCCGTATCAGCGGTATACAAAGTCGAACTTGCCTTTAATGTTGTTGGAATCTTTGACATCAGAATTATTATTTAACAACGCGTTAGTATAGACTTTATTCCTGGCTTATAGGCTTTCGAAACTAATTCCATCGAAGAAATAGACATATCTGTTGTATGTGATTTACGTCACTGTAAATCCGGGTTACATGTGTAATTTGTGTGGCAAAAGGTCCCAAAACGTTATTTACATATGTAATTTGCGCCAGATGTCCCCAAACGTAATTATTTTCTGTCGTTGATACCATGATAACAGCGTTTTATTTACGAACGTCACGTAACCATGTTATGATCACCTTTACCGATGACTATCGTATCATCGTACATTTATGGTATCATTTAAGAAGACGTAAAGTAGACTGTGTCCTTTATATTAATATGACATGTTGGTCAAATAATTGCAGGAAGTAGATAAAATCACACAATGTATCATACGACTTATTATTCGATATCCTCCAAATACAATTGCTAGTAATACAGTTGATATGTCAACTATAACAGTGTATATATCATGATATAATTTATCGACAAAGAAGCAAAGTGCTATACCCTGTCAAGGAAACTGGAAGTCGATTTAGATATATTACACAATCATACGATCATTATAGAGTCCATCGCAAACAGTACTTTCTCTAAAGCATCTAACAACTACATAGCTGTACTCTAGCAAGGAGGCCGGCAATACAAGAACAATATAGATACTAACGAGAAGATGGAAGTGTGGACGATAATTTTGAAATTGTAGTACACAAACCTTAATAAACGCACAGGAAGGACGCTGACTGAAAATATTGAATGCCTTAATTAACATAATTGTAGCTTATAAACATATCAACAAGCACGTTTTGAGGACCTTTGCCACAAGTACATAGTGACGCAAATTGCATACAACATATCAACTCGAGGTTAAATGATAATCCAGGATTGGGCATATACAACATCGTGAGTATTACAAACCCAGTCACTAACTGTAATTATATATTTAACATTAATAGGAATGGTTAAACGTCTCGTTCAAAGAGTTAAATCTCAAGGTCAATATACATGCATGTATTGATCCGACAAAATCAGTCTTGCGTCGTTTAGGAACAGAAGGTGCATATTGACACAAAGGTAAATTAAGTAGCATTTGAACATTTGCTTAAGAGTATTTTTGCACATGTTGTTCTATTATCATTTTATTAATACAATTTTAGAAAAAACTTTTCTCTATTGTATGTCTTGTATCAGAAACTATTAACATTGACATAGCTATCAAGTTTTCCTGATAGTAAACATCAAGACCAGTTAAATCACTAATAACGTTAACATTAGTAGTTCAGTTAGACACTACAACTACTAAACTATCACGTCAAAACGAAGCACAACAGGGACATGGTTCAAGACTGCTGTATTGGTCTAACTTCCGGGATATTTGATTCTGAAAATTATGATAATTATTTTGGTCCCGAATATAACCTGATAGGTCTTGGTTCTTTAGGATATAAAAAAGCGTAATCCCTGCGCAGACGCCAACAGCCTTATAAATAATGTAGTATAATATTCTCGTTGAAAATCGAATTGATAAGTCGCCATTAATTTACCGCTGCTGTCGCCTCGAAATAATTGTCAAGTGTGACTAAATTTGGGTCGAAGCCTGCCATTTCGCAGTAAACGAAATTATAGTCTATCGCTGTTGTTGCATTTAAATACAGATATAGCAGTTGTAATACACATGCAAACTCGATAAGTCGGTCTCTCGATGATTCAATTTTGGCCTAAGAAGGCCAAAAATTCCTAAGCCCTTTTCTCGAGTAGTTGTTTTGCAAATTTGACCAATGAAATTGCAAGAATCAGGTCACGTTCTACTTTCTACGAATTTGATTGATCCGTATAATAACATAGCGCATGTTGATATTCGTTTTATTATGGATAAGCTACAAGATTAGCTACTTGAAGAATACTCTAAAGACTGTCTAAACAGAATCGCTAATCAATCATTGTACAAATTACCTCATCACTTTGGTAATTTTCATCAGACTTAAATAAGATCTTGCTGATACTGTAGTTCATCTAACCGTTTCTTTAATTAATGATTCGTTTTTTATTTTTCAGACAGCTATTGCTGATGAAGGTTTCTAATTCATTACTCCTTTTCAAAAAGCACTTTATGTGCTGCATCCGACTCCATATCGGAAAACCTTTTCAAATGAATCATAAGTATGTTAACAGAACCATAATATCAGACAATCTAGGGATGCTGAATCATGGTTTTAGCACTAGCACTTTGTCTTTGTAATTAAGCGGTATCAGTCTCATCGTCGAGTTCCTGCAACCGTATTTGGAGACATATAAGAATAAATTTTCAATTACGATTAGCAATCATATATGAACATGGGTTTGTGTTCACCAGGCATATATGTTTTGCACATTATTCGAGTAGCACTGAAAATCTCGCCATTGGTATTAAACTTGACATTAAAGAAAATCTAGCTACAAAAAAATTTTTTATAACAAAGTGAAATGAATACTAATACGTGCTATTAAACCACGCATTTGATTTAATGTTTACATAACAAAATAAAATTTCGTTGTACTTTAAAATCGTTGAAAATTATTTGATGCGACTAAGCTGTTTGCAACAACATTAACATTAATAATTCAGTTGGACGGTTTGATAGACAAGCTCCTGAAATGCATTTTCTGTCTATAAAACATCAGGTTATCGTTGAGAATTTTATATGTGAAAATTGTCACATTTCAAACCGTGGCAGGGACATGTCCCATGACCGTTGTATTGACAGTGCTTGGGGGAACATATCCCACGACTGCTACATTGGCAGTGCCTGAATTCTGTGAATCTTGAGGACATTCAATCTTGAAAGACGTTAAAAACAAAATTATGATCATAATTACGGTCCCGGGTATAACCGGATAGAAATTGTGATCAAGTGAACCCGTTCCTTGTAATACTACACTCACGAATATGAACAAAAGTCTAATTTGATTCAACGCAAATAATAAAGACGGTTTTGGTGTAGTCTCCCCGAAATGATATAACAACCGAATCGCAACAAATATAACGACTGCCACTCTAATTGCAAGAACCACCATCAAGCTTGCGTTATAGATACTAAGTTTATCCCACAGCGGGCTAAATACAATTACCAAGTAAACAACCTATATAGAAAAGCAAGTTAAACATTTTGGTATGAGAAAACAAACGTAAGACATCTGACGCAGAGTTAAACTTTACCCCAGACAACCAAAGGATAATCAGCAAAATCGTACCAATAGTAACATCGATACCACTGAATCGTGTTCGTTTTAGTGTATATAACATCAATGTCAATATCATTATTCTCATCAGTTGGTAAGCTATCGGTACAATATAATAGAGAATATCGTCCTTATAATTAAAACTAGTGTGCTTCGTGTTGTAATACTTGATAGCTGTCAAGGTATAGGTTAGAGCCATTCCATTAATTAGAAGTTTATAGATAGATAGGCCAAGGTCTTGGTTCTTTAGGATATAGAAAAGCGTAATCCCTGCGCAGACGCCAGCAGCCTTATAAATTAATATAATATGAAATCAACGAATATTCTCGTTGAAAATCGAATTGATAAACTCACTGTTGCTTTACCGCTGCTGTCGCCTTATAACAATCGACCAATGTGCTTATTTCTGGGTCGGAGCCTGCCATTTTGCAGCAAGAGAATTATTTTTGTCATTTTTGTCGCATATAACAGCTGTAAGAGCGTGTTACAATATTCACTGTTGTAACGTTTATCTTTTTGCGTATTGGCCATTCCAAATGCAACATTGTTTTGATATATTTGTATCCCATTCTTAATGCATAGAATATATGAAATATGCTAGATCAACTATTTATAGTCACCGATCGACAGAAAACTTTGTACCAATATCATATTTTAGCATAATTTAAAGATCCACCCCCTTATTATTTGTCTCGTGCTTCAGCATCCACCAATTGCATCCGCTTTGAAA